CGCGGTGCCGTACCTGCAGGAAGGCGCGCAGGCGGCACACCTCCACCCCCATGCAGTCCAGGGCGCTCTGCGTGAACTGCGGGGAGAAACCGGCACCGTCAGCGCGGGGAGCAGCAAGGGAGACGCTCGAGGGCAAATGGGCTCCGGGCACTTTGGGATGGACCCTATACACGGCCCTGCTCCAGGGTTTATGGGGGCAGGAACAGGGGCTGAGGGATCCCATCGGGGTCTGCGTACCCCGGAAAGTGCAGGGCAGTGCACCCCCCCAGTGACAGGGGTTTCCTCCCCGCTCTGCTCTTCGTACCCAGGCGTCTGCAGGGTGAACAGCCCCACGTCCCCTCCCCTGACCCGGGAACCCGTGTCCCCTCAGGGCCACCACAGGCAATGGGAGCTGGGGAAAGGCGGCTTCAGCTCCCAGAGTGGTGCTGGGGGCAGACGGGGCCAGGGCAGGGAAGGTGCGACAGGGAAAGGGGTGAGGGTTTCCCCGCTTCACCTTGATGTGGTCGGCGAGCTGCATGGTGCAGTCCTCGGCCTGGTCAGCCAGGTGGATGCTGTAGAGGTGCTGCGAGGGGAGAGAGCACAGAGACCTCAGAGATCAGCAGAGAGCAGCAGCAGAGAGCAGCAGAGAGCACAGAAATCAGCAGAGATCAGCAGGGATCATCAGCAGAGATCAACAGAGATCAGCACCCCCAAGCGCCAACACCAACCCCAAACGCCGAGGGCTTGGGCTGATTTCGAACTGGAGGTGACAACTCCTGCAGTGACCCCACCACAGCCCCTGGGAATGCTCTGCCCTCCCAAAAAGCTCATCCAACCAGCCCCAACCGCGGCACAGAGGGGCAGAAACCCAGCATGGGAGGGTGTAGCGAGCCCGGCCCTGGGTGACACGGCCATAGGGTCTGGAGGTGACACCGTCCACAGGGCAGTGCCACCACCAGCCCGTGCACAGCTCGTCCCTGCAATGTCCAAGGGCACGGTCGCAGCACGGTGAGCGGCTCCATGTCCCACCTGGTAGTACTTGATGGCTTTGGTGAGCGGCTCCACGTTGACCGTCTCGTCCAGCTGGTCCTTGTGCAGCAGCTCGATCAGGAAGTCCAGCGAGCGCTCATGGACGCTCATCTCGGGGTACAGCATCCCCACCTTCTTGTACACCTCCACGCTGCACTTGTTGAGGGCCCTGGCAAGGGAAGGCAGGCACAGGTGGCATCAACACGGGGCTCTGCTTTGGGAGCCCATTGCTGACCCCTGGGAGCAGCTGGAGAGCGGTGAACCGTGGTCAGAACATAGAGTCACAGCATCCCAGCATGTCAGGAGTTGGCAGGGACCTGGAGAGCTCCCCCAGTGCAACCCACCCAGAGCAGGATCACCACAGCAGTCACACAGGAACACGGCCAGGGCTTTGGGTGTCTCCACACAAGGAGACTCCACAACCTCTCTGGGCAGCCTGGGCCATGCTCCAGAACCCTCACACTCACAAACTTTGGCCTCATCTGCAGCTTGAACCTCCTGTGCTCCAGCTTGGGACCACTGCCCCTTGTGCTGGCATTGGCCATCCCAGAGCAGAGCCTGGCTCCTTCCTCCTGACACTGCCCTTTCCCAATGGATCCCCAGGAATGAGGGCACCCCTCAGGCTCCTCTGCTCCAAGCTCAAGAGCCCCAGCTCCCTCAGCTGCTCCTCAGCAGGAGATGCTCCCTGGTGTTCACTTCTCCAAGTGATAGCGCTTGTACGGTGAGGAAACACGGCAAGGCCACTGGCTCCCCACGGCTGCCGGATCCACACCTCATCTCTGTGGCCCTGCTGGACTCTTTCAAGCAGTTCCTGTCCTTCTGGAACAGAGGGGCCCAGAACTGGACACAATACTTCAGATGTGGTGTGAGCAAGGCAGAGTAGAGGGGGAGGAGAACCTCACTCCAACCACCCCTCCTCATCCAGGTGACCCCATGATGGCGTTGGCCTTCTTGGCTCAAGGGCACATTGCTGCTCATGGGGAGAGCCCATCCTTGTGCTGAAGCCCCAGGGTCAGCCCCAGATGCAGCCGAGCTCAGCAAGAGCCTGGGATGCAGGAAAACACCGGGGTGACACCAGAAGCAAACACCCCCATTAAACAGGACCTGGCTGCCAAGACACCTTTGACTCCAGAGGGACGGGGCCCTGTGAGGATGCTGAGCTGGTCCCTAGGGGTGGGGGTCCCGGGTGGGGGTCCCGGCGGGTACTCACTGCTCGTATTTGTGCAGCGTGGCCTGCAGCAGGCTGAGGGAATAGACCAGCCCGGCCGCGAAGCTCAGCTGCTCGCCCGCAGCACCGCGCAGCCCCGCGCGCTCGGCGCAGTTCTCGCTCAGATCGAACTTCTCCTGAGCCTGTTTGCTGATCA